TGAAGCGATGGGAAACCCCACGGCTTGAGTCAGGCGCACCTTAGTCCTCAAAGTGAACACCCGTGCTTTTCAACACTCTGAAGGGCTCTTGGGCAGCAGATTTGCCCAATGCAACTCGTCTTTGGATCTCTTGACTCCTGCTTTCACGAGCGTGGATGGTGCATCCAAGTAAGACAAAATCCTTGACAACTTCAACCTTTTCTCCATTTCTCATGATTGTGTTAGTCCCGGTGGACGAGAGAAGCAAATTCATAGACACTCGCGTGTGTGTAAGAAAGAGCTTTATATCAATTGTATATTAAGAAGACATCCCAGCCCAGTCCAGATCAAGTCCATAAGTCTGCTATTAGCCCATATGTCCGATAGCAATCTATAAATTCCTCTTCAGACTCACACAAAACACACAATGACACCAAATGCAGGAAGATCACAGGCCAGTGGGTGGAAAGTCTTGTGGATCCAGTGGCAATGGAAGCATCTCAATGCTGGCGTGGGTCTCCACGTGGCTCCTCCAGCTCCAGGGCTCTCACACCATCTGCATAGCTCCATGTGTCTTGTCAGCAGAGAGACGAAGCAGAAAGTCTGTGTGTATCTGGCCTCCAGCGAGCTATCTCCATGGCACTTCCAAATGAGGCCATCAGGCTGCGACCTGATTGACAGGCTAGACTCCACCCCTTCGCAAGTTGACACCAGATTATGTAACCGCCACAACGATGTTACCTATTGGTCCGTCATTGAAGGATTTGAGTCTTCTTGACATTGAGTTGATGTCATCCTCGATCTTCATCAGCAAGTGCTTCACTGAAGTCCTCCCCACTTTCGGCAAGCAAGGTTGTGTCATCTGCATATCGTTGTTAATGAACCTTCCTCTGCTTTTGATGCTAATTATGCTTCATGTAAGCCAATTTTTTCTCATTATTTTCTCAGAATGCACATTGAATAAGTATGGTGAGAAGATACCACTCTGACACACACACACACACACACACACACACACACCTTTCATGATTGTAAACCAGGCAGTATCTCCTTGTTGTGTTCAGACAACGCCCTCCTGGTCCATGTACAAGTTCCTCATGAATACAATGAAGTTTTCTGGAGTTCTCATTCTTCTTAAGGCTATCCATAGTTTATTACGGTGCATACAGTCAAATGCCTTGGCATAGTCAATGAAACAGAAGTAAACGACTGTTTGATATTCTCTGTTTTGAGTCAAGATCCATCTGACATCAGCAATGAGACCCCTTGTTCCACGTCCTCTTCTGAATCTGGCCTGAACCTCTGGCAGCTCCCTGTCAATGTGCTGCTGCAACCGTTGGTGGATGATCTTCGGCAAAATGTTTCTTGTGTGTAATATCAATGATACTGTTCTCTAGTTTGAGCATTCTGTTGGTCACCTTTCTTTGGGATGGGCACAAATATGGGTCTCTTCCAGTGGGCCAAGTTAGTATATAGTTGGATTGGTGGGTGGATAGATGAACGGATGCATGGATGGATGGATGGATGAGAAGATAGTTGGATGAATGGATGGTAGGTGGGTGGGTTGATGGATGGATAGGTAGATGGAAGGGTGGATGAATGGAAAGATGGGTGAGTGGATAAATGAATATACATAATAATATATCTTTTAGTATGTAGATATGCATAATCAATGAAAGCATGGATGAATGTGCATTAGTAGATGAGTGGGTGGATAGGCAG